ATGTATAATGAAAAATTTCTACGACATTATAATGCCCTGCAAAAAATCCATTTTCTCTACATTTTAGTTTGTCGTTTAATTAGGCACCAAAATTACATGACCGTTTTTAATGGCCATCGATCATGGGTAATTCTAAATTTTTCTACAAGCTAAATATGAACTTTTGGTATCCAGTTATTCACTTTTGAGGTTACACTCATAAAATTCAACAAATACTATCATACACCCTTGGTCAACTGTGGCATACACTAAAACTTTTCCATGTTTACAACTGAAAATAATTGAGTAAACAATTAAAATGTAATAATATTAATGTCAAAACAGATACAGTATACATTAAAACTCGATAAGCTTAATTTTTTTTATTAGCAAGTTTCTTTAAAAAAGCAGTAACTAAATTGTGTTGATCGCGTTCAAACTATTGATAAGACTTGAAGATTTGAAAATAATTTTAACAACAAGACTGATAAACCATTGCCTGCTGATAAAGGCAGACTCAGATTCTTTTCGTCACCACAATATATCAATATACCGATTGGAAAAGATACAGTTAAACAAGTTTTTTCTTTTTTTGCATTTATCAGGAAAACTAAATCAGTAAAGCCACTGCAGATTGTCGCCTCTGTTGAAATATTGGTGAGCAGTTTTACCGTATTAGAATAAACTTAGTTAATGAAGGTGCCAGATATCCCGCACTTTACCTCCTAAAAATTTGTTTGTTACGGTTCAGCAGTGCAGTTAAGCGACAAGAATTCTGCCTTAAAAGCGCTTTTGACGCCAAAGAACGACCATAGGCATTTGAAGTGGCCGACTTGAAGCCTCCCTCTCCAGCTAAAGGAAGCGTTACTGAAATGCCAGAAGGCAACAACAAACCATTGTTCGACGTAAATATAGCCAAGTTTTTTAAATTCTAAGATTATTTCTTATCAAGAAAATATTACTGATGCTCTGCTAAAAATTTATTATTTTTTTCCATCAAAGCCGCTGGATGACAATGATCTCTGATTTGTAACGAAGCCATACATATAGTAAACAAGTGATTCCAAAAAAAAAAAAAAAAAAAAAAAAAAAAAAAAA